GGGGAGCCTTCGGCCTTGGGGGCACCAAGCGGGCGCAGGGCAGACAGACTAGCAAGAGGTCCCCGCAGGGCTCTTCCACGCGTGAGCCAGTGGCTGGCGCGCGCTTCCCGCCGTCGCTGCGGTCGGTCGGAGGACAGGCATTGCGGGCATGGCCCGCCAGCGACACACGCTGCCTCCCGGCCACGGCAGCACGCGCACAAAGAGCCCGGGCCGGGTTGGCCTTTCAAAGCAACAGCCTGAAGAGTCCAAGGTGTCCCGGGGTTCCGTGCCCCGTGCTCCGGCGGCTTCCATGTGTGTTTCACGGTGAGCGCCTGGTCGGTGCGCCCACGTCGCCGCGTCCCCTCCCATTGTTGGTGTCCTGGGCTTAGGGGCTCAGAGGTGTATTTGTGAAGAAACCAGTGCACTAAGAGAGGGAAGAGAGGAACCCAGCTGTGAGGTGTGTACGCCCAAGAACCATGTCTACACGGGAGTCTTTTAACCCGGAAAGTTATGAATTGGACAAGAGCTTCCGATTAACAAGATTTACTGAACTGAAGGGCACTGGCTGCAAAGTGCCCCAAGATGTCCTGCAGAAATTGCTGGAATCCTTACAAGAAAACCACTTCCAAGAAGATGAGCAGTTTCTGGGAGCAGTTATGCCAAGGCTTGGCATTGGGATGGATACTTGTGTCATTCCTTTGAGGCATGGTGGTCTTTCCTTGGTGCAAACCACAGATCACATTTATCCTATCGTCGATGACCCCTACATGATGGGCAGGATAGCATGTGCTAATGTGCTCAGTGACCTCTATGCCATGGGGGTCACAGAATGATTCTCCTTGGAATCAGTAATAAAATGACCGATAGGGAAAGGGATAAAGTGATGCCCCTAATTATACAGGTTTTTAAAGATGCAGCAGAGGAGGCAGGAACGTCTGTAACGGGGACAAACAGTGTTAAACCCCTGGATTGTTTTGGGAGGAGCGGCTACAACTGTCTGCCAGCCCAATGAATTCATCGTGCCAGATAACGCAGTGCCTGGGGACGTGCTGGTTCTGACCAAGCCCCTGGGGACGCAAGTGGCCGTGGCTGTGCACCAGTGGTTGGATATTCCTGAAAAGTAGAATAAAATTAAACTAGTGGTCACTCAAGAAGATGTGGAGTTGGCATACCAGGAGGCGATGATGAATATGGCAAGGCTCAACAGAACAGCTGCTGGACTCATGCATACTTTCAATGCCCACGCTGCCACTGACATCACTGGCTTTGGAATTCTGGGCCACGCACAGAACCTGGCTAAGCAGCAGAGGAACGAGGTGTCCTTTGTGATTCACAACCTCCCTGTTCTGGCCAAGATGGCTGCTGTGAGCAAGGCCTGCGGAAACATGTTTGGCCTCATGCATGGGACCTGCCCGGAGACATCAGGAGGCCTTCTAATCTGTTTACCACGTGAGCAAGCAGCTCGGTTCTGTGCAGAGATAAAGTCTCCCAAATATGGTGAAGGTCACCAAGCATGGATTATTGGGATCGTAGAGAAGGGCAACCGTACAGCCAGAATCATAGACAAACCCCGGATCATCGAAGTCCCACCACAGGTGGCCACTCAAAATGTGAATCCCACACCTGGTGCCACCTCTTAATCTAGACCGAAATAGCTATTTGGTTTTGTTTTTAAATAGATCTATTTCCTTTATCAGCATTTCAATTAAAGACTATAAACAACAACAACAAAATCTCATTGTGTCTACACATCTGGTGACCTGAGGTCTATTTGTGAATGGATGCAATTAATAAGATAAAATCCATTGCCTTTTTTTCCTGTTACATTAACTGAAGATGCACCTAATCTTGAGGCAGCTTCTGAGTTGAGAATTATATTGTTATCCAATACTGTTGATTCATTTTGAATCTTTAGACACCTCTTTTCAAAGGTGCTTTCACATAGCACAGACGTTACCAGTCGTAGTGTCAAATTGCAGTTTGTGTCTTTCATTTCATGTATATTTATCATCAATTTGATCTTTTTTAAGTGTCTTGAAAAGTATTCTGGAAAGATGGAATTGGTGACACAGTGGTATCCCAGTAGATAGAAGGTTGCATGATTCCTTTGAGTTTTGATTTGTAAAGCCTCGCCTTCTAATTCAAGAGCATCTCTTTAACCCAGGATGTTTCCCAGGATGCATTCAGTTAAGGCAGGTGCTTAACTCTGCATGGAAAGCACTTAGAAGATAAAAAGGAAATTGTCTTTCTTTTTTCTTTTTTGTAGCCTTCCTAATATTTACAGTAATATCATTAACTGCATTCTTTATCAATAGCAAAAACAGGATACTTTTTGCAATGTAATTAGATGTTCTATAGTGCAACAAGAAATTGCCTTCTAAAAGGGGGGGAGGGTTCATGTATAATATTCATTTACAATTCAATATATAATTACACAAATAATTTTTAAATAGAATCAATAATAAAGACTGTTCTGTGGATGGTAGTGCATAATAAAAAAAAAAAAGTAGTTGCTGGACTTATACTAAAGTCCTGTCCTAACAACACTAAACACCATGGCCTTGGATAGAAGTTGGTTTTTCTGTGTTATTCACAAGAGGCATGGGTAACATTTACTATGTGCTTGCTGTGAGCCAGGCCCTGTTCTAAGTTTTTTGTAAAATATTGATTCATTTGATGTCCCCTGAAGCCCTAGGCAGTGGCAGAGGGGGTAGGTCAAAGGTGGAGGGGGGTTGGGCAGCGGGGGAGGGGGGAGG